ATGTATGGCCGCTTCATACCAATCCCTTCGCTTCATAATTTGCTTAGCAAATGAATGAATACGAGCGTCAGGAACGGTCGTCCATTTGTGGGCGGCGGGCGGCGGGCGTTTGGGACGTAAAGTTGTGGCTTGATAGGGCCCTTATAAGGGCACCTTCCTCGGGGAAACCGCTATGCAGCGCCTGCCCAGGGTCGCGGAATTCTATCCTGCCAGGAGTATTGATCCTAGTCGTAGGGATTATCGTGCCAACTGCCTTCAACTGTGCGCAGTTTTATACCCACAATGTGAGCTTTGGAGCACTCTATATGGCCGCCTATTCCTGATGGCATACTTCTGTGAACGGATTGCTTTGACGCACTCAAACTTCCTGCGAGCAACTCTTCAATAATTGTCCTCGAGCATCCAAGTTGAAAAAGAAGAACTTTCGCAAATTCCTCTTTACTTTACTGTGGCTCCAAACATTACCGGCTGCAGTTATTAGGACTGGTTATGAAGGAGTAGAGGCTTACTCCAAGCTCAATTAAATCTTGGAGCACTTGCATATTATTATTTGCACCCATTCGTTTTTGACCATTGTGATTCGCAAGATTTCCATGCCTATGTTGTGCTGGCCTGGTCTTGGATTGATTCGACCAGTACTGTCCCTTTTACTAGCGTTTCATGCTATTGATTTCTGTTTTGCTCGCTTTCTCACTTGAAACAGATGTTCGGATGGTGCTTCTGTCCATATGGGACTTTTGACAGTCAAAGCCGCTGTGGTTGGAAGAGCAACACTTCCAGCATCTCCAACCTAACCTTCTGTTAAGTTTTTCGCAACTGCCAAGACCAGTCACCGTTCTGCAGCTCATTGAGGCATGACTGCTTTCTGGCAATCTTGTCGCTAAAGTGTAGGCGTGGATTGATGTAGTTTTGAGTAGTGACCGTATTGATATGGTTGTGGCGGAGTCTGTTTCTCATGTAGCTTTTGGCGGCGATTCCTTCCTTCAGCTGACCTATGAGACTGCCGATTGCCTACCTCGCTCATATTTCGATAATAGGACAGGTGTGACTACCCCATGAGAAAATTAGACAAGTACAGCTTTGGCCCACATTGGGTCGCCAGTGTTCTACATGGCATAACCGGAGGACACCATATGACTGTTCACATATGGATTTGATCGGAGACGGCCGAAGAACTGTCCGCGAGGTTGCTTGCTTTCTTTCGATTCGTCCAGATTTCGTAATACTCAAAACCTATTTGTAGGCTGATTACAGTAGTTTTCCTTTAGGTTTGTATTATCCACTCATAGTTTTGTGGAAGAAGTCTTTATTCCTTTTATTGAGTCCTCTGCTTTGCCCTTGAGACTCTTCTTTAGCGGCAAAATCTTTCCCATGACGTCCACTTCGGCACGTTGTGGATGAGAACCTCAAAAATGGCCCAATTCGGTGAAGTTCTCTGCACTGCCATAAAATTTCGGCCGAGATCCTCGGTGGTCTAATGGCCCGATGTTGTCTGACATTGTTTTCACCTCTTTCAAAGTCAGTAGCTATTATAGGTTCGAGGTAGCGCGAATGGTTACCGTCGCTGCCGCTGTTTGTTTCGACCTCAATTTGTTCTTGCTCAAGATAATGTTGGAGACCAGAGCTTCAGATGGGACGTTTTGTAATGTTAGGAACTTTTGAGAAATGCAGCCTAGTTTGACGCTCCTTTATCCCTTACACATTTCGATTCATCATGCCGTGTTCTTAGCATGAAAATGAGTCCATCAGCGCAAGCAAGTTCTTTATGTAGTTATGATCGATTTGTTCTACCTCTAGCTTAAATCCTTTTCATCGAACTTATTTTTGCAATTTTGATACTCTTTCCCTATTTCACTACTCCTGTGAGATTCTTTCGCTCTCCCTTCTCCCTCCCCTTTGATATGATTGACACCGCTTTACAACAGTGCGGCGCTGTTATACCTTTTGATAGCATTTCATAGCACGTTTTCTCGTCCATTGTGGGATAGTCTACTTTTTTACTCTGCTGTCTTACGGAAATAGGTTCATCAGCGTCTCTGCGCTGTTGATAAACCAACTTTTGTGGAAGTACAACGTCAGTTCATGCAAAATCTCAGTACAAGAAATTGAGACTCTTTGAGTATGACAGGTAAACAGTGGTTCAGTGTGTCATGTGACAGGTAAACAGTGGTTCAGTGTAAATCTTCATCAAACATATAGGAAAGAGCGCGGGCCGACGACCGCACCCAACGCTTATAGGTAGTATAATAGACCACTTACCCACTACAGGCTGTGCTCGGCAAGGGGGGGGGGGCGAGCGGCCACATCAAAATGGGTCGTCATCGACGACATCGTCTACTAGTTCGTCACTGAACACCCGCTACAAGTATACATGATTACGGTAAGTGTTGATTACGGTGTCTTCTTCAAGTGCAACACTCATGTCGATACCAAAATTAAGCCGATACCAAAATCCCGCAGCGAACACGCAGTCATACCTAGAGAACAACCACACGTTATAGGGGGTAGATGAGGACTGAATTTAGGCAAGCAGAGGGCGAACTACAGAAATGGCCTCTGAGCAACACCAGCTCCCAGTCCTGGTCTTTTGACCGAAAAAAATGGCACGTTGCATAAGCCACTATGTGTAGGGTTAAAAACCCACAGTATCCGCTTTCGCTGTGATGTCCATATCGGTTCGTGGCACTGCTGGCACTTTGCCAGACATGCCAAACTGGCCCAATTTGGCTGCGCTTTATTGCTTTGAGAAAGAATGAAAGACATGATGGGAAAGCTGGTGAAGATTGAATAGACTAATAACCCAGAGAACAAAAATACGTGAGAAGGCGTAGATAAGTATTAACTTTCGGCAAACGCAGTGAGGCGCACAGAAACGCCTCTGAGCAATACCATCTTCTAGCCCGAATTCCGTGCCCTTTTGACCGGTGAAAATATGGCACGCAACATAAGCCGCTATGTGTAGAGTGAAAATCCTCAGCATTCAGTTCGCTGTGATGTCCACATGGGTCCGTGGCACTGCTAATACTTTGCCAGACATTTCAAACTGACCTAATCTTGGCTAACCTTTGGCCTTTTTCAGTTTTCAGTGCTGCATATACGTAAAAAGCTACTATAACTATCCTATTCTCCGCAAGCAAGGAAAGGTATACAGTGGTCGGAACAACTAAAGGAATTCACGGGTATCTCATCAGTAACTCATAAAGTTCATGAGATTGAGCAGTGGAAATAAGAGCTATTCAGAAACGCAAATAATTCGATGACACCTGTAATGTTTTTTTGTTCAGTTGTAAGTCCAAAACTGAAAAAGAATAAATACTCAGATATAGGTTCCTATTCTTCAGATAGAGCTGGGGTTCGCACCACATCTTCATGGAATCAGACAGTTCGTCGTCTACTGCGTTATTTGGAAATCTCTTCATTACAGATATTATTAGGTAATCCCCTGAACGATATGTATCTGGATATATAAAATATAAATATAAATAAATAAATAAATAAATAAATAAATAAATAATATATATATATATATATATATATATATATATATATATATATATATATATATATATATATATATATATATATATATATATATATATATATATATATATATATATATATATATATATATATATATACAGTCCTCATCATTACGGACCGGTGGGGCGGCTCAGCCGCGCTGCCCTGTGACGCGACAGCGGCTGCGGCTTGGTGCTGTTCGCTGGCAGAACGGTTCAACAGTCACCCGCGCTCTTGTTCCGTGCCCCCATTTGCGCGCCCGGTATGGTGACTGGCGCCTATTCAGTGATAGACGCCGCGGCCGATCAGCTGATCTCGATGAAAATCGGCTGCAATTTTTTTATTTTCAGCCCTTCAAGCTGCGGAACAGCAAGGTGAGTTCTCTTGAACAATTTTAAAATGTTCTGGCTGTAATTTATTATGTTTTGTGCCTATTTTATTGCCCTTTTCCTTGTATTTTTTCCTTTTTAGGGTTTTTTCGATTGATGCATGCTTTCCCACCCTTTTTTGGCTCTTACTTCATGCTGTGTCTTAGATGTGTTTCTGTTTATGACTGAAACACTCTTTGACATCGGTTTGAAGTTTGCAGACCAACTGGAACGTCCTTATTCCCAACATTTTCTGCTGTGGCCCTTCTTTCTTCAGTTGCGTGAGTTCTTTTTTTTTTTTTGCAACTTCTTTTTTTGTGCCACTGCTTCTTCATCACTTTATCATTGTAGTGTTCTTGTTTATGATTAGAACACACTTTGATAGAGTTTTGAAGTTTGCAGACTTTCAGAAACACGTTTTTGTCATGGCACACTGCTGTGACCGTCCTGTTGCGTAACTTTTCTTTTTTACTTTGTGCTAACCTTTTTTGCTTGTTTGCTCCTTTATCGCTATGGCTTTCTCGTGTTCTTGTACAAGTTTAGAACACAGCTTGCCATAGCTTTAAAGCTCGCGGTCTTTTTGAAACACGTTTTTTGTTGAAGGTTCGCCGCTCTGGTCGCTTTTTCTCCTGTTGCGTGAGTTTCCCTTTTTTGTTTTTTACCAATTTCTTTTTTTCACTGCTTCTTTCACTACTTTGTCATTTTTGTGTTCTTGTTTATGTTCGGAACACACTTTGACACAGTTTTGAAGCTCGCAGTGTTTTTGAAATGCGTATTTTTTTCAAGGACTGCTACGTTCGCTGCAATGTCTTCTAGTCCGTGAGTTTTTCGCTTTAGTTTCATCAATCTTTTTTTCTTCGACTGCTTCTTCATTACTCTGTCATTGTTGTGTTCTTGTTTATGTTCGGAACACACTTTGACACAGTTTTGAAGCTCGCAGTGTTTTTGAAATGCGTATTTTTCTGAAGGTGTGCTGCAATCATCATTACTTTTGTGGTACTTCTTTTTTGTCTTTTATTCGTTGTGTTTCTTCTCTCTTTTGCTCTGTTGGTGGCATTGACGGCTTCTTCGCAATCTTTGCAGAGGATGTACGATTTGGTCACCACTTCTATCAGATTTCCGCTTGGGTCTATAAACCGTACGATGCTGTTTTCTGTTACGATGCGTTTTCAATTCGCTGTTTGTCGCCTATCTTCTGCGCTACGCTTCTTTTGTTACTAACAAGCACATTTTTATTCAATGTGGCTGTTCTGTGATGGTGTGCCACTTTTGTGATTTCTAATCTGTTGAGACCATCCACGATTTTGTTACTAACAACTAGAGAGATTCTTTCTCTCGTTTCCCCCGGCAGGAAATGATTCGGTAACACTTCATTCCTGTTATATATAGTTAGTTATTGATAAAAAACTCACAAACAAAGCGTGTTGCTCGTGTGAGTGTGAACTGAGTCGGTAATCAGCCACCGTTTCATGCCGTCCTTCAACCATTTCTTTTACCTCATTTCTTTTAACTCAATTCTTGAAGGATACTCAGGGTTCTTTTTTAGCCTCCAAACCTCCTACAAAATGAGCGGAGCACGCGATTTCGTAAGCTCTAGAGATTAATTATATTTCCTTCATAATATTTGTCATAATGTAGTTATGATATTGACTTTAGTCTTCCATTGCGAGAGCGCTTCTGCTGGGACACGAGAGGGAAGTGGTGCACCGACCAGAAGTGGTCAGTGGATATTGATGTGCAACGATTGCGCTGTTCGCTTCATTGAAGAGGAAAGACGCTTTCAGGAAAATGTTGTATCGCGACCAGCCGCTGAAGAGCGCCCTCAAGGTGAAAACTGCCTATGCAAGGCATTACAGGGCCTCTCGTACGCCATGCTCATGAGTGGTGAGGGAAGTGACCTTAGAGGGCGCCACCTCACCCCAGATGCGAGAGCCGTCATCGCCAACGTGAAGCAGTTCTTCGCTTTACTGAAGGAACATCTCGGGGCCACAGCACGTGGAACCATTTTGGATTCAGTAACAGCGATAACTGCCACGGCATGCGGTGTGTCCGACAGAGTTGTCGAACGGGTTAGTAACACACCGGTCGGCCGTGTGATCCGTCGATCGGCTTCGAGAAGTCGTTCCAGGAAAGCAACGGTCATGGTCGCCATAAATAACCACGGTACGCTATGGGCGGATCCGAATAAAAGACGTCTGGTTCACAACTGCTGAAAATCGAAGAGAAGCGAATTAACCACTCGCGAACTGCACCAACACAAATGATCTGCAGCCTATCGGATTTCGGCTGCTGTCGTCAGATGACTCTGTGGAAGGCTGATGAAGGCCTCTGAGGTTCTGCGTATAGCTTCTCAGCGCCAACGATACACTCTTCGACGCGCGCGATCCTGCCGCGCAAGCGATCCGTATATCGTTAGAAGTAGTAGAAGAGGCCCGAGGCAGAGGCCGGACTGCGTTGTCACATGGACCAAAAACATGGGTCTTTGAACGATGTCAACGAGAGGAGAGGATGGATCGACAACACGTTGTCGCGCTTCCCTACCGCGAAGAGCTACGGCAGTACTCTTGCGGCAAGACTGCTGGGAAGAATAAAGGAAGGCGCGGCATCGTTATAACGGCACTGTTGTGGAGAGGCTGGGTACACCAGGTTGCACCACCCATGTTTTCGTCAGAAGGCAACGGACCGCGCAGGACGAAGTTCACCGAGAGATGGATCATTCGGTTTTCGAGGAATGGCTGAGGTCCACAGTCCCCTTCATGAAGGAGTTCGCAGCGGGTCGGAACGTTACTCTAGTACTTGACAACGCTCCGTATCATACTAGAGTGCTAGAGAAGGTGGGTGCAGAATATGCGCACGCGCTATGAATCCTGAATTTAGTGATCTTAGGTTCCGACTAGGAGCTCCAGGGTGGAGGAAATATGGAACTATCTTAGTTCGCACGGCGTCGAAGTGGCAGTGGATAGTACGAAAGAAGCTCTTTTAGAAGAGGTAGGTGTGAGTCTCAAAACGGCCTTAGCTGCTCTCTCCAGGCAGTATTTAGCTCGACCACTTCGTCGCTAGTCGAGGCGGCGCAGCAGCCTTGCGCTGTTACGCCGCTGAAAAGATCTGCGAGGAAATGGGAGTGAGCCTACTGAGGCTCCCTCCATTCCATTGCTTCTTCAACCCTGTTGAGCTTTGCTGGAGTCATCTTAAACAGCGCCTCAACAAGATAGGACGTCCCACGGATAGGCTGGAAATAGTAACGTTTTCCAGATATTCTTCGTCTCTGGGTATTCAACCAACATTGTTTCTTTCTTTAGGTCAAAAGTAGGACTGTTGAAATTTTGGGGAATGTGACGAGACAGCTCTGAAGGATGGTGCAGGGAAGCGATAAGGGAGAGGATAGCGCACGGCTTAAGGAGGCTTTAGATACTAACAACAACTTTGTTGAAGATGAGGATATTTCGTCCTCGTCTCACGATTCATCTGATGATGCTCTATCAGATGGGCTTCTCAGTGAATTTAGTATAAGAGTTGTAGATATTCGTTGTGTTGTTTTTATAGGTTCACAATTTCTCACTCTCACGGGTCTCTAACATGTTCATAACGACGGGTTAAACTTGTTAATTCACTCACTAATACCTCATTTTTGTTGTGCTTCGATAACATGGCTTAAATTTTGTTGTCTTGATTGCGGGTTTCTCACTACTACTGGTCCACTAAGCTCTGTTTCTCACGGATTTTCGTTATTCGGTTTACTACTTTGTTATAGTCATGGATTTATCGAGGTTTTTAACTGAATTTCTCATTCTTTTTATGCATTTCTTCCCCGGATTACCTCGTCTCTAATACGTTTCACTTGCTGATTCTAACATGTTTCAGTACCACAGTTCACTGCTTCTAAGACTTTGTGAGTTTTTTATTAATAACTAACTATATATATAACAGGAATGAAGTGTTACTGAATCATTTCCTGCCGGGGGAAACGAGAGAAAGAATCTCTCTAGTTGTTAGTAACAAAATCGTGGATGGTCTCAACAGATTAGAAATCACAAAAGTGGCACACCATCACAGAACAGCCACATTGAATAAAAATGTGCTTGTTAGTAACAAAAGAAGCGTAGCGCAGAAGATAGGCGACAAACAGCGAATTGAAAACGCATCGTAACAGAAAACAGCATCGTACGGTTTATAGACCCAAG